TCAGAAAGTATTTTACAACGTAGTGTGCATTTTAACATTGAAAGAATTATTGTCTGCTTCAGAAGAAAACAAGCTTTTGTGACAGGAACTGAACAGATTTCCGAAGAATGACATGAAATGTAAAATTACAAAAGATAGAAAGGATTACAATATAAGGAAATTAAAAAGTGAATTAGAAAACAATGACAGAATGCTACCTTTGAGTGTGCACAGCATTCACAAATGTAATCTCTCCTGTATTTTAAATGGTATAATCTAAGAGACCTAAGCTTGTTAACTAATGCTAACAGTAGTACTACTACAGCAGTAGTAAAAATCTGGCTATTTATCTCCAAAGTATTCTACATTCACAAGATTAAAAAACAAGAATTCTAATAAGACCTTTCATCTGACTACATTGTTGAAGCATCTAATGTTTATCTTTTAATTTCAGTTAGAGTACACACTTAATACATGGCACTAAAACTAGAATTATGATTATCAAACTGTAGGTGTAACATTGTATTTTTACATGAAAGAAATGAATTGCTACTCTATCATGATTGGTCTTTTTTTTTTTATTCACCTACATGCAGATAGCTGCACTAAAATCTAAGGAACCTTCTGGATATACATTTAAAGAAGCTGTAACATTAATTATGATGTAGTGGTTTTTCTATTAATTAACAAAAATTGCATATTAACTCACTTAGTGTTAATAGTTGACCTATAAAATAAAAAATATCAACATAACAAATATGCTGCTACATATTGTTCTTTTACTCTTATTTTTTTATTCTTTATTCTTATCTTCTAAACATGAAAATGAAATAGCTAAATTAATTTTAGAAACCCTATTCACAATATTGTATTTAAAAGAATTAATAACAAAATAGGTATTTATCTCTGTGTTTTCATCAGTGGTGGGATTCAAATATGTGAACAACCAGTTCTCTGTGTGGATGCTGCTTCCGGAAGTCCATTCTGGGCCTGGGCAACAAAAAATTAGCTACCGGTTCTGCTGAAGTGGTGTGAACTGGCTGAATCCCACCACTGGTTTTTATCATTAGTGTGAAAAGCTGCAGTTAGGAAAAAAAAGTTCTATGTGAATAAATGGCAGTATAAAAGTTAAGCTTGTGTTCAAGATTTTTTTTTTTAAAGTTTCTAACGCAAAATAATGGCAAGCAATAAACCCTTCTGTTCCCTTGCATGACCAAACAGGTTCTTTCAGTATACCCAAGAATGATGGTGATATTTGAAGAGAACACCAGATATATGTTGAATACAAGTACAGTAACTTAAAAAATCTTCCTCTGTAGGATGTAGTACTATTTTTCCCACTGATATGACCATTATCTTATGTAAAGATCAACTTTTTTGAAACTATTTTTTATTTAAATGGCAATAAAATATTCTAATAGTATAATACATTTCTAATGCAGAGATACCACATAGTAGATGGAAATAACAACTTATTTGAAAATGGTTAAAGAAATAGAAAAGTTTTGGATGTGAATTTGACTTTAAGAGGGAGTAACCCCTTAAGTAATATAGTGCTTTCTTTTTCTTTCTCCTTTTTATTTTATTGTTGGATATGAGTAATATAAAAGAGTTGGAATGGCCTATATAAAGGAAATGTTTTAGATATCTAAAGGTAATTGACTTTAAGAAAATTATAAATGGATTAAAAATGTTTTGACTAAGAGTTAAAAGACTAGAGGATTAGGTTTATTAAAGGGACTATTTTAAGATTAAATACATTTTTAATTATGGTAAAAAAATGAAAAATTTGTGGAAATAAATATGTGTTAGCTTATAGGAAATAGGGATTTTAAGTAATATACTATATTTTTATTTTATTCTTTTTCTTATTCTCATTCTTCTTCTTTCTCTTTTTAGTTTTATTTATTCCTTAAGGAAGATAAAAGTATTGGGTTGGTTTACATGAGAAAAAATAGATTTAAATATTGAAATGTAATTAACACTGAGAAAATCCTAACCAGTAAAAACGTTTAGAACACTGTGGGAAAAACAAATGTAAATGGGATATATGATGGACAACCAGAATGACTAGATAGAAAAGGAATACTATATTGTTGTGATTATTATTTGTAGAAATATTAGAAAACTTTTATACTTAATTATCATTTATTAAAAAAAATAAGAATTGTATTAGCTTAAGGTTGGTAAAAGAGAACACTATGGGAAAAAGAGGAAATCATGTAAAGTTATCATGTGGATTATAGATTATAGAATTTAATTGTTAGTGAATGTTTGCTAAATGTAAACCAAGACAACACATTGTCTACCGAATACTAAGGTGATTATGTTAAAAATTAATAAAACATATTAAAAAAAAGGAAATAACAACTTTTCTGGAAGCAGATTTATTTATTTTCAAATATCTACCAGCTGTCTCCAGAAAAGCAGCCACAAAATACAAGTTTTGTCTTAAAGTAATTAGCACTTGATCACATTACAATTAATAGAAAATATAGACATTATTTTTTTAAAAAAATGATCTTGAGATAGTTGAAGTCGGCAAAAGCATAAGGATAAGAAAAACATATCTGTCCTTTGTTCTGAACTGCATGAATAATTATTCACAACCTCCACTCTAGATGCTTCCCGGTCAACTGAAAAATATCACCTGAGGGCGCTCAAGTTGGGAAGAACAAATAATTTGTAATAATTTGTCCTTCAAAACGATGTGCTATTCCTTTGCTATTACTGCTAGTTTCATGGCCCACAAAGCCTAGCTGAGGTTGCCCCATTTAATTTTCGCCTCTCATATTTTAGTTCCTTGTTTTCAAGGTGTGTCCATAATTAGGGCATTGGCTGCTCTAAAGAGCCAACAGGTGCATCATGCATCTAGTCTTATGTATCTCATGTTATTTTACTCAATAAAGCTTGCAGATGTTTATGAAATTTCACTCAAACTTTGTAGCCAATCTTGTTTGAAGTAAACCAGTGTACTATCATTCTACTATTCTGTTATGAACAATTCACACCTTAAAATTTCTCCATTTATTTTCCATCTTTAATGAACATTCTGCTAAGGTACAGATACTCATTTACATGTTTGCACAATTATATCAATGTTTCTTTTTGCAATGTGTATTTTAATCAATCCATGAGCATTAGATATTTTATTTCTACGTCATTTATACAACACACTGATTGTTCGGGAATGTTGACATGGGAACATTTTGCATAGAATACACAAGTTTAGCGATGTGTGCAAATGCTTTCTAATCCTACTATATGCTATTTTAGCTGTCCGCTGGAGCACAATCCTCTGAAAACAGTCAAGATAAAATCCCTTGGTTAGTTATAATATTGTGGTACATAGACCAAACCACAAATATATTGTTACAAGACTTTCCTCTTGCTGGAATTATGGTCCAGAAATATATATGAAAATCATGTAATTATTGATAATATGATTCTATTATCTGAATCCAAATAAAGACATTTATGATCCTTGGAACAAATCCCCAAAACAGAGCCTAAGATTACACAGTAAATCATAGCATGATCTACACTATCTGAAATTTCTTTTGTTAAACATAACTTAGTCATAGTTTAATGTTTGTTTTATCAGAGCCATTAATTCTAAGCAGATTCATCCAGTGCTTACTATACTTTGCTACCTTTATTTTCCACCAGAAATATCATGAGCATTCCTGATGTTTTAGAATTAAACACTCATCATTCCCAAGGATCATGGATACGTGAACTGCCACATGTTTAAGAACTCTAGGCTGAAGAAAGTTAATAAGTCATTTGTCCTATACATAACTCAGCATATTCTGGTAATATAGAAAGTAATCTGGAAAAATATCTAGAAATCCTAATAGTGACCAAATAATCCCAATTAAAATATAACTATAGTTAGTCATATTCTACTGGGGAACCCAAGAGCTTTGCCATACATAAATTTTTCTTTGCACACAAGAAACTGGACCATACAAGGCATAATAAGATGAAGATGGGGGAGTTGGTGTCTCCATTAAAATAAGCAAATGTTTTTGATTTTATCAAGAGTACTCAGTATTAAAATATTTCTCCTTCTCCTAAACAGGATAAAAAATATCTTCCTCTTATTTATAGAGGAGACAATATGCTTCAAAATTCAAATAATGTTTATCTTGGACATATGGAACTAGGACAGGAAATTTTAAATATTTAAAATTTTCATTTATAAAGGCAATAATACTTAAAAGCTACAATGAAATCAAGATGCTATATTTAATACATGTGTGTTTCTGTCCAGCAGTTCATTTATAGATAACTGCCCTGAGTAAAAGCTAAATGCTGCTTAGCAAAATGGATTTCAAAATTAAAACAACAGCTGCAGCAATATAAAAGTTCATAAAACTATTCAAAGTAATGCAATATATTTCAGGCATATTTAGTTTATATTAAGAAGAAAAATGGCTCCAATCTTTAATTATTCATACACACATTTTCTACTGCATACATAAGAAAACCAGGAATATATTCAGAAGATTTAACTGTGCTTGATGGAATGTTACAATTCTTTACCAGAGTTTGCTAAAAGGCATGGTTTAAAATAGTGAAACTTTTTTTTTTATGTTGAAGACTTCATAAAATACTGTTGCTTTAAACAGCATTCACATCTTTTTTTAACTGCTCACAAAATCACATGGAATGGCAGTTAATAAAAGATGGACACAGTTCATAACATCAGATCTCAGTCATTATTCTCTGGTATCTTTTAATATGATGCAAATATGTAAACTTTATTCTTTGATAAGCCTTACATTCCTTAACTGAGTCCTAGCAATCATCAAGCTATTGCATGCCCCATTCAAGAAAAATATGTTTTTTGGAATTGTGTAGCTTAAAGAGTTACATTTCAACAACTTCCTTACTTAGAACTTTCTTTAAATTATATTAATTTAAAATATCTATTGAATGATTTGTTTTAAAAAAAAATAATAACCGAACAAATTAATTGGTTGCTTTTACGAAATGACTCCTTATAGTAAGTAAAAAAAAAGAAGATTTATCACAGTTTTGGCAATTTGTATAAGTTCTTATTGAAACAATCTTCACATGTTCTTGATCAACTGGACATTGTTGTGCTCTTGGTCCTTTCACTGGTATGACCTGAAGCAGTAGACTCCATATAGCTTGTGTTTTTTATCCGGAAAGCCCACCAAACGTACTGCTGCTTCATTAGGGCTACAGCGTTTTCTTGGCTTTGAGATGGGATATCGGACACTGCCATCAGCCAGCCAGCCGGCATCACAGCGGTCATATCCTAGGAGTTTCCAGGCTGCAAACATTTGGCCTACTTTAGCAATCTGTGCACCATCATTGATGCAGGCTTGCACGGCTTCATCATAGGTCAGCTTCGTCGGGTGTATTAGGTAATAAAAACGGCCTGATGGAATAGAGAAAGGTTATAATACATATGAAAAAAGATATGCAATTAAAATACCTTTTAAAGATTCGTAAGAAAAAATATTTCATTATATTTATTATGTTTTTGTGTGTAAAACAGTTCAAAACTATTCTTACATAGTTATAGTTATCCCTAAAATTAAAGGAGGGAAAATTTCATTCTTTCTATAAATATGCAGAATTTTTCTACTGATGAGATTAAATTTCTAATGCACTTATGGAGAAAGGTAAGAAATGATAAGGAGAATGTTGAGTCCTTACCTAACTGAAATTTGCTTCAGAAATATTTGTAAAATTATGCATAAACACTTCTAATTATCTCTAAATCATCCAATTTCAATATTGTCAGCCTACTATAGAATGAACAAGGGCTGTGACAGACTTAAATCAACAGAAATGGTTCTTCGCTTCATACATATATGTACATACTGCTCAAGGTGCTTTTACATGGCTTTTCACACTGTCATTACTATGTGAATATTTCATTCATATTGGACAATTCTATGTCTCTAAATAATTCTGATTTAGATTTTCATGTTTAGTGCAATTAATTTTATACTGTATTCTCTAATATTTTCAGTCAAATACAAGGTACTATTTTTTTTTTAAAAAAAATAAAAAATTGGATCCAGACTATGTGTGAATTCTACATGATAGATGCCTCATCTAAACAAAGTGATTTCCTTGATTCAATAATCCCTGATTATTTCTCCATTGATCTGCAAGGCTATTTTGAAGAATTAGAGGGCTCATTTCCTTAAGACAGCACAGGATTGTAGGGGAAAGGTGGAAACAGAGAAAATCAGCACCTCTCCCTTCACCTAGGAAGCAGATTCAACAGCTTTATAGAAAGGCAAATTCAAATCTTATCTCTTGTTTGAAGCCTTTTATCAAAGCCCAAATTATGTGCAAGCTATGTTATTTATATGGGATGGGATGATAGGACTTATGAGAAACTGAATTTTCATTATAAATAGTGGTCAGTCTCTTTGGAACTCATTGTGTGTATTTATTCCTTTTCCAAAAATTTCAGATAATGCTTAAATGGCACAAGATTTATTTGCCTCAACTCAGTCAGCCCCTTATGGAACTAAAATAGCTGGATCTGGATCAGGTAAACATTTGTACAATGTTTAAAGCTTATTTATTTTGGAAATGCATTCCTCAGGATTGCCCAATGAATAGTAATGTTTACTGTTCTCATGTTCTGAGACAAATAAATTGTATTGTGAATACTCGGAGCAAGGGAGCATCCCTTTGTTTGTGGGCTGCAAGCCAAACATCTGCTATTCAAGAGGCATACAATGCCTGGTTCTGAGTTGACCAAGTTCCTGCTGAAAGGAAGGGTTTTCCATGTTAGCTTCCTTGTTTTCTCTCTTGTGTAGATAAGTATTTTTCTGTTAATTTCCCTAGAAATAGTGGCATTGTTATTTTACTTTGTTTAACATTGTCAGCATTGTTTTCTGTTTAAAATGTAACATTTTCCCCATTTCTAACGTACATTTAAATTCTGAATCAACAATTTTCATTTAGGATTGATTTTTGGCAACCTTGTTGCATAAGAATTTCTTACTAGAAATGGTAGAGGATTTTTTTTTTCAAGTATGTATAAAGAAGTTTCATATCAAATATCAGTCTCCAAACTGCTCTGAGTTATATCAAGCAAATTTTGGTTAAACAGTAAGCAAGAATGCTGGACTATAACATAACATGGGAGTAAAATTTCTGCATTCTGTAATCTTTTCCACAAAAACTGTGAAATAATTGAACTTCACAGAATTGATCAGGGAGTAAAAAATAATTAAGAGCTCTATCATTCATTTTTCTTCAGACATTATAGTACTGACTCCTGAATAATTAGCCACAGATGCTAGAGCTCAGGCAAACATGTCTTTCTAAACCAGGGAGAAGCAAAGAATCCAGCTTCATCCTTCTTTCAAAAAAAGATCTAAGGGATCCTTCCAAAAAATAACAATTGTGAGATGTTTCAGTCCATTTCTTTGTATGGAAATGTGCCCACCTGCCTTGGAAAAAAAGACAATGAGAAGTTGAGAACATAGTTATCATCTTGGAGAACTGCAGGTCATAGCTGTGAGCAACCTTATGCCTTTTGATATATGTCTGTTTTGTGATCAGTTATCCCACAATAGCAGCCATTTGTAAGAGAATTTTTATTATATTAACATTCCAAATATGATCAAAAAGTTGCCTTCTCCTGTTATAACAACAGCCCTTTGGTGTTTCCATGATCTGATGCTTGATCTTTTTAAATAGAAGAATTAGTGAATTGAATTGAATTTGAACTGAAATGGAATTGGGGACTTTTTGCATGTAAAACACATTGAACATCTGAGCTATGGTTCCTTCAGAAATAAATAAAAACTAACATCGAGGGTCACGCTTCACTCCAGAGAACTTCCAATGAGTCAAATTACTCACCAGTAAAGTGAGAGGTAAAACAAAAGACATCATATCTGTTTTGTTCTTTATTTGAGAAGCCGTAATTCCGGATTCCAGGCACTGTGTTCTTCCCACCACAAGGCTCTCTGGGATCTCTAATTGGATACTGCACTGACCCATCATTGAGCCAGCCCGCATTGCACCAGTCCAGTCCTGACCTCCATGCTTCGTTTAACTGGTCAAATGAAGCTATAACTGCATCCTGGTCGAGGCAGGCTTGCTGAGCTTCATGGAAGTTTAAATTATAGCGACCCAGTCGTGGGAAGTAAGGGAATACAATGCCTAAAAGAGAGCACAAGAGGAAAAGATGACTGCTTAATCAATTAATTAATTAAGGAAGGACAATCCACTGGTAGCAGGAGCCCAAGGTCTTAAGCCTTCGTTTCGCACTATGTTCAGATCATACACTAGAATTCAGCAGCAAGTTTACTTATTTTTCAGTGGCACTTTTTTTTGAATGAAAACAAAATCAGCCCCAAAATGTTGGTCCATCCCTCCTAATATCACAGTAGTGCTGAAAATGAGGCTTACAGATGGAAACTGAAAAAAATAAATGGTGGTCTCCCCCAACTGAAAGGCATTTTAAAAATTATTTACAATATGTTAGAACAGATAGAAGACTGAATGGAGATTTGTACTATCACTAAAACAACAATCTGTTAAATTTATATTTGGGGATGCGGCCTAACAAGTGAACTGTTTAGTCAATAGGTTGGCAACATGCGGCTCTGGAGCTGCATGTGGCTCTTTGAGCCTTCTCCTAAGGCTCCCAGCCTCCTCTGCCATTTGCAGAGAGAGAGACAGAGACAGAGAAGCCACTTGCCTTCCCTTCTCTCTCTCTCTCTCTCTCTCTCTCTCTCTGTGTGTGTGTGTGTGTGTTTGTGTGTAGAAAAGAGAGTGGACTCATGGTGTTCTCCAACGAGCTGAAAAGCTTATTGGGCGGAGCTCCTCCCTTTGCTGTGTCTCTGCAGGAAGCAGGAAGGGCAGGAGAGAGCTAGCTAGCCCAGCTATGCTGGAATTCTGGGAGTTGAAGTCCATGAGTCATAAAAGAGCCAAGTTTGCCTACCCCTGAGCTTGTTGGAGAACAGCTTGAAGCCAGATGAGCAGAAGATCGCAGAGAGAGCGAGGGGGGGGGGGAGAGAGAGCGAGAGAGGGAGAGAAAGAGAGAGAGAGAGAGAGAGAGGAGAGACAGAGACAGAGAGACAGACAGAGAGACCCTTTTGACATCTAAAATGAAGCTAACACTGCATATATCCTTTTTTACCTTTATGATACACACACACCTATAATAAAGGTAAAAAAGGATATATTCAGTGTTAGCTTCATTTTAGATGTCAAAAGGGTTTTGCGGCTCCCAGTGTTTTGTTTTCGGTGGGAAACAGGTCCAAGTGGCTCTTTGAGTGTTTTGGGCTGCCTACCCCTGGTTTAGTCTTTTTGTCTGACTGTCTCTTTAGACCATATATTGAAGCTCACCCTTTCCTGATGGAATGTACCAGTTCTTCATGCAATACTCAAATATGGGCTTTCACCTATCTGATAAGTTATTTTGGCTTCATTGCCTCATTATTAGCATGCCTGTTTTTAAAGAGCAAGAAAATGGATTGTTTGATTTTGGCACATAAACTTTATGAACAGCCAGAAAATTTGTCATTTGTATTGGAATGAAACCTTCAAATAAGCTTGGATTTATCTTTAATGCTATTTCCATAAGCAAAATATTGCAGTAACTATTGTCTCTACCTGAAACTTAACTTCTTTCTATATTTGTAAGTGAGAAGGTCATATAAATATAGCAAAACTGGAAACTACACTAGATCAGAATTGTTGACACTCGCCTAGTATGTGAGTAAAGCTTCCATTTCCTTAAAATTGATTTTTTCCCTCTGAAATAAGATGCTTAATTTAAGAAACAGAATGGAAGAAATGTAGATTATAAATGCTTAAAAGAACTCAACAGCTTCAGCTTAGCCTCTGCGGCTAAGTACGTTCTCCAGCCAAGATATTTTTCCATCCCATCAAATTCAGCTGTTTAGTCAGAACCATCCAGTATAAAAATGCTTTAAGTCAGAATGGCCAAAAGGTTGATCCCTTCAGCCTTGCAGAGTCTTTTAATCTGTTACGATTGTTTCTATATATATTGTTTTCTCTGCCCAGAGTTGTTCAGAAGTCAGGTTGCTTTGAAATTGAATTAAATATATTCAGAACCCAAGGCAAAGATGTGTTTGATTTAATAACATATGCAGAGGCATTTTCACACAATCTAGATCAGGATTTCATAAAGACTTTCACCTATAAACAAGGCCTTCTGCCCTCATGAGGTTTGTCCCAATGTTATGGACACTTAGCATCTGCATGATGTTAGCGACAAAGCTTGTTATCCTAAAGTCTTAAGTTGAATTAAATTATTTTATAAAGCTTGAAGAGAACTATAAATAAAGCTACCTTAAAAAATGTCTGCAAAAATAAAATGTAGGTTAACAAACTTAACTTATCCAATAATCTTTCTTATTAATTAAAGAAAAATATTTAATATGGCTAGATTCTGATAGATTGTTATATTAAGATATGAAAGCTATATTGTCAGAACAATAGTAATAGCAATATTTTTTAATGAACAATTTCTGTTTAGCTGGGAAGCTTACCATCCAAGTCTAGAGTTATAACAGTTGAGTTATCTTCTAAACCTTCAATGACTTCACATTTGTATTTCCCATAATCTTCCAGCATTAAATTTGAGATTACCAGAGAGGCATCATTTTCAGTGCTTTTCTTCAAGAATACTCTTCCTTGGTAATTACCATAACTTTTTTTGTGGTAGCCCATTTCAACATAGACATCCAGTTCTTTGAGGTAATCTGAAGTGAGTTTGGTCCACTTGACACGAACTCTATGGAATCCTGAGACAGGTAATGTATTGTCACGATAAAATTTACATGGCAGAGTAACACTGCCACCACGATGCGAAAAGATTTTGGTTTGTTCTGCTTTCACAAGAAGGTGAGGTTCATTTTCTAATCACATGTTGGAGAAAAAAAAACATTGATTAGAATGGATGAGATACACTAAACTATTTCAGAGATGAAAATAGCCACATTCCTAGCCAAGTAAAAAATCTATGGATATGTACAATATGATTCAGTACTCTCTCTTTCTCTCTCATGCCTCTCATTCATGAATAATAAATGGCTAACAATGTGAACATATATGAAATAACTACTCCAACTATCTCCATCAAAATTCAGACATGATCCAGATGCTACATTTTATCATGCAAGATAGCACTCGTTGATCCAAAAAGCAGATCCTGTTCCTGAGGGAATAATGCTAGGAAGATTATGATGGTGGTGGTGGTGGTGGTGGTGGTGGTGGTATTGTTGTTGTTGATGATGATGAAAAATGAGGACTAGATAGAAATGTCATACATGCAGAAAACCATCTTCAAATTATAGGATCTCCTCCTGTGCAAGATAGAACATGTAGGTCTATAATACTTCCTGAAGGCTAAGGCAAATGAATCGCTAAAAAGAAGGAACCTCCAAAGGTAGGACTAGTTTCTGAGAATGCCAGTGACAATTGTATAGAGAAAGGACCTGGAAAAAACTAACTCAATTTGATGTGGTTGGATGGGTCAATAAATATAGCCAAGGCAATCCTTCAGATAACCAGGTCATAAGACATTTAGGGTACCAATTGATTTCTGGGTGTAACTTTAGGTGACAATCAGCACCTTGAATTATATCACCAAATTCACTGGTAGCCAATGCTGTTCCTGAATCAGCAGATGTTACTGAGTATATCGAGATACATTCATCATTGCCGGGATTTCCACATTTTCTATCAGTTATAGCTACTGAATCTTCTTCAAAGCTAGCCTGGGTAATGTATGTTATAGTAGCCCAACTGATGGTGACTAGAGCATGAGTGTCTGTGAGTAGGGTCAAGGAAAAATCATAACTGGCACTTAAGGTGTAACTTTGCAAAAACCCTCTTAGATAAAAGTGCCATCTGTTTTTAAAGCGGGAACTGTAAGTCTAAGAGAACTCTTAAACTGCATCTATCTCTGATCATGGATTGAGAGTCAGAGAATTGTTGTTTTCATCTTTTATTATTTTCTGGACATTCTGGTGCTGTGTTTTTAATTTTTATATGGGATTTATTTTGTACTGAATTTCATGTGAGCTGCAGAAAGTCAGTTTTGGTTATAGCAGCTCACAAATATTCTTTCCTATCCTGATTCTGACAATCTCCAGGCACCCGGTTAGCATTACAAGGGACTGCAAGAAATAGGGGTCTCTGGCCATATCTCGCCTCCACTATTAGCACTGACTGGAACTAACCCGTAAGGAAGATGGATACTGACTGCACAGCAGTACCCTCTCTTGATTCTTTCAGAGACTGTCCAAACAGATTGGTATTCTCCTGATTCTACTGTCTCCATTCACAAGTGTGACCAATATGATTTCTACACTGTATACCAGTCTCAACTCTGCTTGGGCTCAAATCATTTGTTTTCTTCAGAGCCTCTTGCACTTCCTCCACAACCTTCCAAGGAAAGATGGTTCGAGACTATTAGAATTGCTTGTAAGAATTCACTGTCCTTTCATGACACCTGAAATCAATTCCAAGAAGTGGAATCCTTTTTTTGGGTGGGAGACTGTGGTGCCTTTAAGGCAGTGTTGACTCATGGCAAATGCCTGGACTACTCCCTGCAGTTTTCTTGGCAAGGTTTTTCAATAGTGGCTTGCTATTGCCTCCTTCCTAGAGCTGAGAGAGAGTAACTGGCCCAAGGTCACCCATCTGGCTTTATGCCTAAAATGGGACTACAACCCATGGTTTCCTAGGCATGATGCCTTAATCATTACACCAAATTACCATATACTGGGGAAACGGGAATTAAATTAATATTCTGAAAAACTGTTTTTTTTTCATGAAAAACATTTTTATTTTCATTTATCAGTATATGATTCTTTTTTTCCACTAATTAAGTTTCAGTGATTCTCAGTCACATCAATATGTGCTGAAAGCTTGCATGCAAATTATATTTTAAACAATCACAAAAACCAAAGAGCCTCACTGAGTCATAAATATTATGTAATACATTTCTGCCTTGGGGAAAACAGGAATTCCCAATCTGAACATGGGAGTCAGCCACAGTATCAGCCTGATTCTGTTTTTTCAAATATTTTACAAGAACTCTGAACTAGGATGGAAATACAACTGTCTCTTTATTGTTAGAATGTTGAAAGCAGAATGCATAAAAAACAATGAATTTATTAGATCCTGAAATTATCAGTCATTTATTATTCTTTATGTCTTCTGCATATGAATGAATAACAATAGTAGTAATAATCGAGATTCATTTCAATTGTTATCATTAACCCTTCTCCCCCCATATAGAAAGTTTGATTTGGAAATAAGTTCCAACTCATTTTGGTTGAATAAATTATTCATAAATTATTCATTTACAATGGGACAGTGATGGGGAGGTAGAATCTAAATTAAGAAAATTAATGGAGTTTTGCAAGACGAAAGAACCAATAGAACCTACCCAGAAAAGAGCTTTGACAGAGAATAACCATTCTGATACATATCTGTCAATTAAATTTGAAAAATTCAGAATGGTTTCCTGAAATTGATAGTACCCTGTCCTTGATGACTTTTGCTTTGCAGGGGATTACAGTAAGTAGTAAAAATAATTCACCATATGTGATTTTAAGAATCTTTAAGCCTGAACTTTTTATAACTTGTATAGTGCATTATAAGAATGTTGACAAATTAAAGCTTTTCAGGATGGCTACACTGGTCTACAATCTAGTCATTAGATATTTATTTTACTATGCACATATACAAGAGATAAACTGATATGAAAAATCTGTGATAATACAAGTAACTTTGAGACCAACTTTGCAGGTCTGTAGAGCAAAGAAAAGCTGAAGTAAGACTTTAAGCACACTTAGTGACCATTTCAGTGAATGATCCATTTATGTTCCATTTATGATTTCCTTCCTTCCTTCCTTCCTTCCTTCCTTCCTTCCTTCCTTCCTTCCTTCCTTCCTTCCTTCCTTCCCTCCCTTGGCATTCAGAAAGGACGTAGTTACAGGAAGGAGAAAAACGGAGTTTTTCATCCTATTCTGTTTCTAGGAATAGTGCAGCTGTTTGGATCTGATGTGGGAAAAGTGCTTTGGATCCAGAATCAGAATCTTACTGTACCTGCCAACAGTTCCTTAAAGCAGGCATGCATTTTTCTGGGTTTGTACTTTTTTTCACCTGGGACAACAAAACTACCATGTGAGCCCAGAAAAGATGCAGCTGCTGATCAGAAGCACCTTTCTTGTCCTGGTTCCAGATAATTTCATATTCCTATTTTTACAAACTTTTCTAAAATAACAGTGCCACCTAGTGCTCTTACTATCTCACAGGGCACTTCACCATAACTGTTGCCTATTCCAACAATATGAATGAGTTTATAGGTACACACACACTCCACTTATTTGCAGCTGTAATCTTGACAAATAGGATTCTCATATCCTAGGACCATTTAGGACTGTTCCATCTTATGAAAAATGCAATTCTGAAAGGAGAGTTTTTCAGACAGACAGTCTGATTGATTGCACCTTTGGCATTTTGACTGCTATACTGCAGTTCTACTTTTTATAATCTCTTTTGCCTTGCAGCCCCCCAACTAGGGGCGTTAAGCAGGCTCAAGTCACTGCTGCGATACATTACAAATTCAGATTTCTTTTTGCTGACAAGAGTTAAAGATTTAAGTGGGAGACTAGTATAGCTATTTCGGACTCATTTGTCCTCATCAGCTAGCCCCTTTATGGGATTCGAACCTGGGCAGTCTACTGCATATTTCATAGAATTACAGAATTAAAGGCTTGAAGAATCATTTTGTCCAACTTTATGCCCAAAGCAGGAATATTCTACTAAAGCACTTTTGAAAAATGGCCATAAGTCTCTGTTTAAATACTATCAATGAAAGAGGTAATATCTTCCATTGTTGAATATTACTTAAGAATTAACAACCAATATATATTATTTTAACACATTTATCATGTGCTGTTTTTTGAAATAACTCTAATAATTCTGCCCCATTATCTGTGTAACAGCTCTCAGCTACTTGAAGTTAGCTATCATGTCTCCTAGCAATCCTTTCTTCTCCAGGCAAAACGAATTTAACACCTTCAACTACTCCTCCTTAATTTTTATTTCCATACATATTATCTCAGTTGCTGTCATCTGGAACACTGTGATCATCTAAAATGTGGAAAACATAGTCCAGTTATGTTTTCACCAACACAGAATAGAGAAATAAATCTCATCATATGCAATGAACCATAATGGTAAGTACACATGTGTGGTGAAAATTGCATTTTATTCCCTTTTTAAATGAATATTTAGCATTGACAAATTTGCTATAAACATCTCATGGAAATTTTGTATTTAACAAATTGGAAAAATCACTTTATAAACACAATATACAAATTTATGGTATTGATTTTTTCATATTTGATTAACATACATATTGAACAATGAAAAATGCTTGGATTTCTGCCTATTTGGCTTATGCAGAACTGTGTCATCTTAAATAATTTGTGCTCTAAAGTGAATGAAAAGTGATGATGTCTTTTTGTAGAGGCTCATTGCTTTGATTACACGTGTTGAACTTTGTTTTGTAAGTAGAAATCCTTTGGTGAACTGTGGAACCAGTGAATCATTTTATTTTGATTTGGCATTTTCAGTTACTGTAAGTTGTTCTTTCTATCACAAGAGAGGCAAAAGTGAAAAAATGTTATACCTTTATCCTGCAACAAATCCCCTAAATAATTTTCATAGATTATTATTATTGCTACATATGATCAATACCTTCTCATTATTTGTTGATGTAGAATTCAGATGAGCTTAATCCAAATTAAATTAATTGTATCACTAATTGCATCTATAAACAGAAGAGCTAAAAACAAATTCATGATTAAAAAATGGGTGAGAACTACAAATAGTGATAAAATTTAGTAGCCTCCCATGCACCATGAAAGTTGAGTTCAATCTATCTGTAAGTCACCAAATTCAGGAAGAAGTATTGAAGTATAATTATATATGAGTATTGTTGTTGTTGTTAATTGCGAAGTCGTGTCCGACCCATCGTGACCCCATGGACAATGTTCCTCCAGGTCTTCCTGTCCTCTACCATCTTCTGGAGTCCATTTAAGTTCACGTCTACTGCTTCAGTGACTCCATCCAGCCACCTGATTCTCTGTCGTCCCCTTCTTCTATTGCCCTCAATCTTTCATATATGAGTATACATGAGTATAATAAGTATGAATACACTTATTCCTATGTATACATGAACCCTTGTTCAAAATATACATTTATGACTGAAAAATCCACATTATTTGAACTGGGACTCTTGTGCCTGATTAATTATCAATTGTACCCAAATTGCATAGGCTTTTTCATCAGTGTTAAAGTGTTCACTGGCCTCTTGAAGGCTATTTAATCTTTGTTCAGTGTGGGAAATCTAGACTAAAGGTTCCCCGACAATGGCTTTCAGTTTGAAAACAGAGAAACCTCTACAATAATTGAATCAATTGTTAAACTATTTTGGGAACATTTTTCCTTTAAAGACCCTCCACCATCATTACCATCATCACCACCACCATCATCATCATTTACCTTCCTTCAAAACAGTTACTTCTAAGCCATGTATTTTGAGCTATGTATTTTACTGATTCTATGCCAACTTTCTTAAGTATTTAGATAGCCATATTTTCAGTTTAGGGTATATTCTTTGCCAATTCTCATGAAATTTTTTTGGGTTTTTTTTTCCTTTACCCTTACATTGCTGATGCCCATTACCATGCAAAATCCTTCAAAATGCTTATTCATAAACAAACCTTAATCAAACATTAAATTGAACATTAAATTGAACATTTTTAGAGCAAAATTCCAAAATTGAAACATTTCAAAGTTTTACATTCTCATGTAAAGTAGACAAGAAATTTTCACATTATGGTTCAAAAGAGTATTAGCACCTTGATAATAACTCTAAAAACGATAACTGTTTCTTAGAATCCTCCCAAAATTGTCTGATGCTCAACATTTCTTTCTAAGTATCAACATGCAACACAGTTTATAATGAGGCCAGCATTCACTTTATTGCACTGACTCTCCAGAGTTTATCCTGTATATCCATAGGCTGTATAGTTTAAATTGTCAAAATGTAAGCTATACAAAGCAGAGAAGCTGCATGACATTTATCCTGCCTGTCACTTTTGCATAAATAAATGTTTTGGCTTGCTACATACAGGATGATCTTTAGCTGCTGAAGCAAGAACTGAAAAACAGCTGCATTCCGCTATCACCTCAAAGCTTTTCACAGCCAATCATACGCTTTAAGATTTGAATGGATGTACATAAATATGTTAAGAGGTAGCATTTAATAGAAATCAAAGCAATGGGGAGGCATCATCTAGGAGGTAAGCTACTTTTTATGTTGTCTAAATTGCTGCTGATCTCTTTTTTTGCATCACTGTGTTTTAATAATCCATCATTACCATATTTCTGTGCTATGAAGGTCTACTTGTGAAGGGCTTTAGATCTTATTTATTATAGAGTAGGCAGATATCTATCAGATAGCCCTAATTGTTTACTTGCTGTGTTTAACATGCATGCATTTTGATTTTAGTAACCGTTGCTTCTTTGGCAAAAATCACAGAAATGTGGTATGCTGAACTGCAGACTGCAGTTCCAGCCTAAAAAGCACTGCAGTATAAAAAATGTAATGCTGCAGCAAAGTTAGCTAATCAGTTTTATAAATGTAGCAAATGTTAACCTTTTTATTACAGCATCACAATTTTTCATTGAATTTCTTTTACTCACCATGGATGTGAATTATTCTATCATGCTCCAGAGTGAAGTTAGCAGCATGATGCTCAACCCAGCAGAAAAAAATCAGCACCAGAAAAAGTAGGCTCTTCATCTTTTATAGTCAAGAATCTTCTTCACTGCAAAAATATCACATTGCAAAGAAACTAATTGCATCTGGAAATTATAATAGTAACACTTTATACAGTTCCTCTGAGTTCCATCCTTCTCTTATTGCTCATTGTTTTGTCCTTGTAAAATTACAGAGTCACATAATTAAGAAATCTTATTAGGAATGTCCTTTTTTGTCAGGAAGTTAGCTGTACAATTATTTGACTACCAAATGAAATATACTGTTGGGTAACTCTGCCCATTAAGAGAGTAATTGTCATTTCCAAACCATAAAAAATAAAGATTGTGATCCTTAAAGGTTAAGTGGGCTTCAATTTAAATATTCAGAACTGTTCTGTTTGTATCCGTTAAACAAAAACATACTGTATCTTAGACACAGAATATAAATACTGTTTTACGTCTTGTGACTGTTTTTTTTGCACCTTAGTTAATTTAGCATGCAAGTGCAAGTTCTTCAACTGATCTGAGAGGCAGACTGCAGAGGCATGCTTCCTTACAGGCATACTCACCATTTTATAGATTAGTCTGCAGACAAATGTTGAAACCTACATAAAGCAGGTTAGAATTGCAGGTTCCACTACTGCAGCTGCCCTGATTGATTTTTATTCATTTCTATTTAGAATGCTGACGCATGAAATTATTGTGTCAGTTAGGGTCCCTGCAGTCAGCAGAGCTGCTGAGAGCTGCAGGATAATATTCTGCAGCCTCAGAGGAATAATTAAGAAAATGAAGGCCTGGAATCCATAGGAAGGAATATAATTCAAGATTTCTTAGGCAGAAGATTCAGTTTGGTATTTTCTTTAGCTGGGATACCTCTCTACTGTCCTATATGTGTTCAGAAAGAATTCTTGTGCCCAGAACAAGATAGAGATGTAAAATAAGTTTTATTCAGAAAAATATATTTAATTTATTTTGGGGAGATGTGGGATGGGTGTGAATGTGGCATGGATCTGAAGCAAGATTCACAACCTCTGCAAATTTTGAATGTAGACAACTTTTTAATCAGAAACATTTTCTGGTTGTGTATTCTATCCAGAGATTTTTTTGGCACAAGTGGCTGCTTTTTGCACAAGTAGTTGTATTAAAGTAGTTGCAAGAGAACCCCATGACCTCTGGCACAGGGTTAACCCACTGAGTTAACATTGTGAGACTGAGCTATCATTGTGTGGAATTTCATTGTTCTGGCAGTATGTTTTTGCTCATCTCAGAAGGAAATTATAGATTAAGGTTAAGAAGTTTTGTGTTTCTGTGTATTTCTCTCTGCGTATGTGTACTCTTTCATATACTGTTGACTTCTGGCAACTGCCTGGACTTCATGGAAAGTCCCTGCAGTCTTCACGGAAAGTTTGGAAGTGGTTTGCCAATGTCATCTTCAAGAGAAAGGAGCCCAACTGGTCCACTGGAGGACTAGAACTCATGGTCCCCCTGTTTTTAGCATTGTATCTTAACTACTACATTAAACTGGCTCTCAAGATTAGGGTGAGATGGTTCAAAATCAAATTCATCTAGTGTGGAACTAAAACAACATTAGATGTTTATCTACTAAATAGATGGTATTATTTTTTTTAAAAAACTGCAGTTTTTATAATTATAAACACTTGCCATTATCTACAATGCCTTGAGAGAAAATGGAGACCAAATAGCTTATTCAATAAGCCTTTTTCTGTGACTATTTATCTTGAGCAGAGCTACTATCAGTTTAGACACAGAATAAACTGTCTGTGTGAATCCTCATACATGGAGGCTTGTACAGAGAAGTTTATAACCGTATTCCCTATGTCAGCGTTCCTCAAACTGGGTATTCTCCAAGTGTGTGCACCTCAGCTCCCAGTATTTTCAGGAGTGGTGCTGTGTTGGCTGAAGCATTATAAAAGTTGAAGTCTGTGCTCATTTGGGAAAAGATGATCCAGCACAACTGATTCTTTTTGAACAATATTAATCTGATCCACACAAAGTTAGTTTGCTTGTTTGTGGCTTAACTTATTGTGTAATGAGTAATCCATACTTAATGGCTTAGCATGATTCATGAATCTAGCTGGTTCATGCAGCATGATTAGTCCTAAATGTGTGGTTTACTATACAAACCATAGTCAAACAAGCCCTGCCCTCCCAATACATTGTGATCTTCCATAAACTTTGCCTTCTAATGTATGGAAACTGAAAATATTTAATACATTTAAAATTGAGGAGACCTTGAGATAGCAGAAGAGACCATTTATTATCTTATTTGGTCTTTTTAAATTATATAGTTTTTGTTTTTATAATTTTCACAGTATATTGTTTAATCATTTTTCAGTCATTCATCCTCAGCTTCCAAATAACCTGAATAATCTGTAGTTGTTCATAGGTAACTTTCTGTATTAGATGACTGAAAGAAGTGGTGAAAAGTAGAAAGCTCAAGGGGAAAAAAATAACAACAGAGAAAAAAGGTCTGCAGGGTTTTGAACTAACCAGATTCTGATTACAGGACAAGTATTATACACACTGAGATGTTATAGCATTCGTAGGAAAGATATTACAGAGTATGGGAAACACTGATTCATTTGCAGGGATGTTCCTGATTCTGCATAATAGTCATTAAAACTGCTATTGTAGGTTAGCCTACATCAAGCTTAAATATTTTCTTCAAAGACCAACAATGCTTGAGGCAACAGAATATGGAAAAGTTTACTGCAGAAGTGAAGCATAAAAACATGTCCCTAGGAGCTAAAACAGGACAATGTTTTCCACTTTTTCCTTCCAAAACTTTCTGAGACAAGGAAATCTGATAGTCTGGATAAGTCTTTAGGAATCAAGCCTTGTTTGAACTCTGAAATGGAGCAACCCAATGGGTGTATGCACTTACCATTGCAGAAAAAAACCCGTAAGCTTTATTTTGTTTCATTTAAGGATCCTAATATTCTTGTTATATAAAAACCCATAACGCATTCATAGAACACAACTTGCCTTTAAAAAAGAGATTTTTAAAAATAAGATTAATACTAGCTCATTTTAGATAGCGCAGTTCATATTTATTATTCCTCATTTTCAACTGATTGCAAGCTTGGGGAATTGAAACAGAACTGGAAAAACATGTGGTGGCACACATTTCAAAGTCCCCTTTGTTACAATAGAGTTCTGATTCTCTGTCCCTTTCAGGAGAAGCTTGTTTTCAGAATTTGTACATTAGTGTAATTGGTTATACTTTGCCAACAGACACAATATTTGAAAGACTTCTCAGTTTCCATTACAGTCACGGGTTTTTGTGCCAAGAGCATACATGAAGTTCTGGAACATCATAAAAAAGTAAGTCTTGTGAATCCAATAAAACATGCTGATTTGAATAGATTTCTTCTTGTTTACTAGAAATTGAACTGATTATGGGCAGGAAATGTAGAGATGTACAAAACCATTTACTTCTTTATATTTGCCATACCTTGCTTTCTAAAATCTATGGCAAGTTTACAGAATGACTCATAAAGTTTTCTCTTTCCAGATAAATTGGTACAAGGGAAGAATGTGTTTTTCAATGGAAAAAAGCAGTTCTATAAGTAGATTTATTGATAGCTGGTGAGTTTCAATGATGAGTTAACATGCACAAATGCAACCATGATATTGCTAGCACAATAAAATTGTATTTATTTAAAATTTGTACAGCTACCCATTTTAAAACCAATTCTGGGCAGCTTACGAGCAATAAAATGATATATAACCACCAACAAAAAATTAAAAACAGAAAAACCTGGTGTCATCAACCACACTTTCTGGACCTTGCCCATTCCAACATTTGTGAGAAAAGCCAGGTCTTGAACAGTCTCTGGAAGGATAGAAGAATAGGGACTTGTCCATGGAACAGGGACTGCATGGTTAATAAAGGGGAGATTATTAAACATGTATTTGAAAGTACTTACTACAAGTTTTTCTGATAGATTTAAGTTAATATATTTTCTTTTTAAAAAGTTAACATCTAAGGCATCTAATTCTTACTGGGTTTTAGCTAAGGGTGTACGGTTTACTGAGGTTAAGGACAAGTATTTGTCCTCTGATCATAGGCATCAATGGATGAAAGGCAAGATGGCAGCCATGGCAATACGACTGAAGCCCAACCCCTTTGTACATGCAAAAGACCTTGACATACAAAAAGGGTGGGGCTTTGAGGTCCCTCATTGATTGCCATCTTGACTCCCTTTTAAGCTTCTATTCCTGTATGGAAGCTGATGCTTCCAATGCATATTAACATTCTCTCCTACTCTCTAGTCTTTGCATAACTAGCCTCCCTTCCTACTGCCTCATGTACTAAAATATCATGGAACCATTAATAAGGAACATTCGGCATAATAAACACTCAGATAAACAACTTGTGAGACAAAAAATAAAATGTTTTATGATTACAAGAATTTTATTATTATTTTTTAAAGTGTACTTTAATATTTGTACCGTATATAGCACCCAGCAGGCAGCAGCAGCAACTGGCTAACCTTGTCCCAAATCTGAAATGAAGCATAGGGATAGGCTTAGGGTTTAACCATCTGCCTCTTCCCCTTTGGTGCAAGAATAGATGACTGTTGCTCTTTTCTCCCCACTTCCCATCACAAATGTAACCCCCAAGTGGGTTTTTCTGCTGTGAATTTAAAGTGTTCTTTCCACTTAAGTTGACTATTTGTTTTGGATGGTGCACTTTACTTTGCTACAGTTAATCCCAACAATTTATGCAGTATTTCGCAAAAGGAAAAATGCTACCATACTTAAAGGATTAACTAAATTAAGTTTTCTACAGCTTCAATTATTCTTTCTCTTTTCTGTTTACTACCCACATTTCCCTGGATACCTCTTTCTTTATTAAGTGCAGTGATGCATCTTTTCATCAGTTTTCCAGTCACTTGAAATGGAAGGATTTCATGTGAATCTACATTAAGTCACTCGAAAAATGATGAAACAATATGCTACTGGACTGACGAAAGACAACAAAAAGCCCAAGGAAAAGTACAGTAGACAGCTCAGTGAAAGAAAAAACAGTAA